AGTCAGTCATGTTAAAAATATTGGTCTTTATTCTAGAAATAGAGGAACCTATTAAAGCATTTGAAGCCTTTAATATGGATGTCAGGTTTTAGGTTTGCATGTTTTTTTTAAGCACCTTTGTTGTGGTATGATACACCTATGAGACCACCACCACAATCAAGATAGATAATATTCCATCACTCCCCAGGAGGTGCAAATTTCGAACTCCCAATTTATGCCTTCCCACCTCCTCTACCCACTGATATCCATAAGTTTGTTCTCTGTGTCTGAGTCTGTTTGTGTTTTGTAGAGAAGTTCATTTGTGTCCTTTTTTAAGATTCCACACATAAGCGGTATCATTTGGCATTTTTCTTTCTCTTTCTGGCTTACTTCACTTGATGATCTCCAGGTCCATCCATTTTGCTGCAAATGGCATCATTTTATTCTTTTTTATGGCTGAGTAGTATTCCATCATATGTATGTGTGCGCACACACACACACACACACACCATATCTTATGCATGTTGAAAAGATGTCTCTGCCTGCAGGTTGGGAAACAGATCAAAGGGAGGAAGGAGCGGAAACCAGGCATGGGTTGGTGGACTGTGATGGAAAGAGAGGAGATGATTGTGAATTCCAAGGTGTTGTTGAGGGAAGAAGAAAGAAATGCATTAATTCAAAAACTATGCAGGAAGTGGTATCAACAAGGTATAGTGATACAGTTCACAAGGCTGGGGGGAAGAGGAATGTGATCAGCATGGCCACTGTTAGCTTGTTGAAGTGGATCAATGGCTTTGCCATTCTCTTGTTGGATGGTGCCTCTTGAATACCAGGAATACTGCAAGAGGAGTGGCTGCATTGGTGTTCAGCCCTCATGCCCTTTGAGTGTATTTGGCTCATCATTTCTTGATTGATGAGAGGACAAATCTTCTTTTCTTCCTTCTTTCCTTCCTTCCATCCACCCATCCATCCATCCATCCATCCTTTCCTTCTTCCCTTTCTTTCTTTCCTCTCTTTTGTGGTTTCTGGATTTGTATTCTTAAACCAAGAGCTCTCATTGTTCATTTTTATTTTTCTCTTTTTATTTTTGCTAAGTAAATCTCTTGAGCATGCTTGCTTTGCTGTACTCATCTCCTTTTGATGTTAACAGAGAGATATGATCACAGATACCTAAGTGTTTTTGTGAATTTGATCATATGAATGAAGCTACCCTTAGTAATAATTTCTAATTATAAGATACTAGATTAAAGGACAAATAGAATGTCTTGAATTTTAAGATTTTGTAATCAAATATTATTAGCTTCTTTACTAAATA